TAGTGTATGTTTGGATTTTGTCATTTACAGTGTTCTCTCAGACACCCCAGTATTTATCATTTCCCTTGTTCTTTGTGATATTATTCAGTGATGTAATGGTGTTATGTGAGTGTTTATTTTAGTATTCTGTGAAAGTGTGTGTGTGTGTGTGTGTGTATATGTATGGGGTGGGGGGGCCAGACTGTCAGCCACAGCCAGTGAAAGCAGAGAAACAGTTACCACCTGACTGAGACGAGAAGAGACACATGCTGGGCTTGACATTATACTCTATTCACCCCCTAGCTTCAGTGACGGAGAACGTATATAACATTTCTTCCATCATTTACTCATTCTTCCAAACCTGTATGATTTTCTTCTGAAGTTGTAAAGTATCTGTGTTGTTCACTGATCTTGCCACCCACTATAGCTCACAAATCTCATTTGTTCAGTTTGAATATGGCCATATGTTTCAGGGTGAGTAAATAGTCAGGATCTCTCTCCTAACCTTTCAATAACCCATGGCCATTGGAAGCAACATAATGTGTGTTGTTTGTCTTTTGTACTCTCACTTGCTCACTGTTACACATGTAAATTCTATCGCTCTCTCTCTTTCGGTCATCCTTACAGACCTTACAGATCCTTAGAGAGTCAGACCTTCCTCTCTGTCAGTTTTAATTGAAGAAAACGGAAAATCAAATACTCCTTAATCAATAGAAGCAGGACTGTGAGCTGTGACTCAGAATGCATGTTCCTCTAGGTCTTGTTAGCGTTTCACTCCCTAGCAACTAATGCTGGAACACAAGAACAAGAGTACCAGACAGTCACTCTCTTTCTTTTAGAGCACCTTTACTCTATTTCCAGTCCCAGCTCTTTTCAAGGGTTTTGCTTACTGAGAGGTTTCCAAAGGGCTGTTTGTACCGACATACGGAGGCATGACAGCTTGTGACATTCTGATACTGATGCACTGGTTATTTTTATTATCAATGGCTCACTGTGGCTTTTCAGAGTACATAGTTGTACTATTCATACTACTCTCTTGGTTATCTTTTTTGAAGCAAGTTCATTTGAGTTTATAGATGTCACCCTTAGCTCTAGGGTGAATCACACTAAATCTGTCAAGAAAATTTCACTTGTCATATTACACCCCTAATTAAAGAAAAGAGAGATGAAGAAATGTTTAATTAAAGTCTTTTTTAGACCAGTGTGGCATTTTTTTGACAAACACATTTTCAAGTTATGTAATGGAAAAACATTATAGTAAATTTTAAATATTTTATTCATTATAGCAGTATTCATTAATAATGCTTAAAGGGGTCATATGATGCTATTTTAAAGATCATTATTTTGTGTATTTGGTGTAACAGAATATGTTTGCGCAAAACTCAGAATTTGAACAGTCAATAGCAAATACTTAAACTAATAACAAAACATACTTACAGTCGCTGATTCAGAAGCGCTAGACTGTCATAGCAAAGTCGGAATTGACCCTTTTTTCCCCTTTTTTTTGAAATAGCCTTTGTGCACAGCCAGCCTTGTACTCTTCTAGGTTTAAAAAAACTGTCGTCCATAAAATGAGTTGCACAAATTCGAACATCTGGGTTGTGCTGTTCTGTTCTAAATAAATCTAATCTTAGTCTCCCTGACATGCTGCATCAACACGACTGCTGTTCCTGAAACCATGCCTTCTTTCTTTGCGTGCACATTTGGGCTGCATTATGCTAATATTTCCACATAGTGACCTAGATATGTGGGGGTGTGTTGGAACGAGCTGTTTTAGGTAGGTGTCGCTGACTCTAAACTTTTATAAAGAATATCTCTTTTGATTTGAGACTTTAGTCTTTGCAACTTTACAGATCTTCTTTATGCACCAAGAGCTTGTAACACTCCAAAGAGAAAGGAAAATTTGAAATCGCATCATATGACCCCTTTAAAAATGAATTTGATTTGGTCAGTTAAATTTGTGATGATATAAAAAATCTTATAATATTTAAATTAATACAAATAAGTAAAAATTATCTGATTGTTATTGTTTTTTTTTCTTCTTCTTTTTCTGTCCCAGAATTAGTTTTAATTATTTATATAATACACAGTCTAATTAACATATTCATTCTGTTAATCATTGTTTGATGCCTTTTAGTTATGTTTTCAACAATTATTTCGATCAATATTACGTTTTTTTTGGCCAAGCTAAATAATGAAATGAATTCTGTGTCAGCATGCTAAGCATGTTAATAATTCTTGTTGTAATTAAGCAAATTTGATTTGTTGCCTGTAAAATATTAACTATGGCAGAGAGGTCATTGTTTTGGATATTGCAGAGAATTCACCAAAGAGAAAGGAAAACTTGAAATCGCATCATATGACCCCTTTAAAAATGAATTTGATTTGGTCGGTTAAATTTGTGATGATATAAAAAATCTTATAATATTTAAATTAATACAAATAAGTAAAAATTATCTGATTGTTATTGTTTTTTTTTCTTCTTCTTTTTCTGTCCCAGAATTAGTTTTAATTATTTATATAATACACAGTCTAATTAACATATTCATTCTGTTAATCATTGTTTGATGCCTTTAGTTATGTTTTCAACAATTATTTCGATCAATATTACGTTTTTTTTGGCCAAGCTAAATAATGAAATGAATTCTGTGTCAGCATGCTAAGCATGTTAATAATTCTTGTTGTAATTAAGCAAATTTGATTTGTTGCCTGTAAAATATTAACTATGGCAGAGAGGTCATTGTTTTGGATATTGCAGAGAATTCATTGTATGTGTAAATATGTGCTGAATGCTTGCAGGCATTTCTGAAGCGTCTAGAATCTGTGAAGCCCACTCCTGGCATGACCCGAGATGAACAGCTAACTGATTACCAGCGGCATTGCCGATACCTGGGAACACCCGTTACAGCTATTCCACCAGTCAAACTCAAGTCCAGCAAAACATCTGGTGCATGCTTACACACAACATACAAATTTAACCACTTTATGTTCCGTTATCTGCATGTCATCCTATTGCATTATTCCATATTCAGCTGTATGTTTCAGAGATCATAAATAATCAACTAATTGCTTGCGCTATTGACGATTAAAATATATCTTATGCATTATATAAATGTTGTGTATTCTGTAGTGCATAAAATATATAATATAGAATTCTGTTTGCATTCATTTTTCTTCTCTGAAAAGAAATATTGAGCTCCTTCTCTAAGAACTTTGTATATTGAACTCAACTTTTGTAATCTCAATAATATAATTTCTTTAACTGCATTACATGCATTTAATTCTGTTAAAATATTTAATATTGTTACATCTCAAATTAACAGTACAATTAACACAACTCTTGTCTTTCCATGAAAACAGGGAGGACTTCAAGACCAGGCAGTAGTCCTCACAAATCTAGACCGGAAACAGCTAAACTCAGCAGAACAATACCACGGCCTGCATGGTCCTGATCCTAAATTCTTTCCTTCTCTTTCTCTACCCCCGACACTTTCACGTACATGTTCTGCTCTGACTGTAAGTAGAAAATATGACTGTAGGTCACAACACCAAACATTCTGAGTGAATGTTGCAAAAGTTCAAACTGCTTGAGCTCATGGTAAATTGTCCAGATGTGGAGTGATATAAATTAAAATATTTGTCAGAAAATCTACACAGCTAAATGTTTGCTGACAGTGTGTGGCTTATATACATTTTTTTGATGTGCTAGGAGACTAAATTAATTCAGTCAACACTGTTCAGAGACCATAAAGTGTGACATTCCATTTTCTGAGACATTCAAAAGTAAACTAGTGCCTATATGTGACAGACAACAAAAATACTTTATATATATATATATATATATATATATATATGTATATGTATAATTTTAAAGCCACTGTTGCTGTTATCAGAATAATCAATTACGTGACATGTCTGTAAATCTAATGTGAAATAAATGCTTTATTATTTGTTATGGTATTCAGTGTTACATTATTCGGAAATTAAAAGTGATTTGTTTATTGACTTAGCTGTGACACTTGAATACCTAGCATGCTCATATGAAGTGACACACATGCTCAGACAGTGTCCTGTCTGTTACAATGACTCTAACAATGCTAGTCATTCATCTGTCACTCCTGAACTGCTTTTGAAAAGGCTGACTGACACTTGCCGACACATGGAAGGCTAACAAGGTTATTATGCAAGCACAGAGACCGACACGGTAGTCATTTTTGCAGAAGACTTTGTTGTTTGACTCGTATTACTGTAACTACTGTTACTAGCTTTAACTGGACAATTACTATTATAATAGCATCATTTGTGACACTTTAATTGAGGCAGTTAACAAACAGTTAATTATATATTTAATTACAGATCATTATTTAATTTGCAACATCAAGTAATGGTTTTAGTTATTTTTTAAGGTATTATAATTTATGATATATTAGTGCTATAATAAATTATATTTTATAATTTATTGTATTATAATATTATAATGTGATATTTATACTCTACCATTTGGGGTTGGTAAGATTTAATAATGTTTCTGAATGGAAAATACAGTAAAAACTGTAATATTGTGAAATATTACAATTTAAAATATCTGTTTTCTATTTTAATATTTATAATTTATTCCTGTGATGGCTAAGCTGAATTTTCAGCATCATTCATTACTCCAGTCTTCAGTGTCACATGATCCTTCCGAAATCATTCTAATATGCTCATTTGATGCTCATTTCTTCTTATCAGTGTTGACAACTATTGTGCTGCACAATATTTTTGTGGAAACCATTTTAAATGGAACTGTATGTTTTATGTAATATAGGAACAATGCAGTTTGCACAATTATTATTTATTCTATGCATTAAAATGTGCTTAAATGTTTGTGAATTAGTTTAAACTATGAGGCCAATATGAGTCCATTACCATTACTGAGCTGACACAAAACTTTTTTTATTCTGGTCATTAAAGTTATAAAATCTGGAGGGAGAAGTATTATAATGTCACAGAAAGAAACACAGGAAAGCACCAAGCAGAAGTTGTATTTTCAGCTTTGTTCTTATTAAAAGAACACATAAGGTGGAATACACCACAAGAACAGTCAGCTTTCCAGTGTACAGCCACGTGCTTCAGTCCGGAAATAAATGTTCAGCTTGCTACAGAAGAGAGGAGCCACTGTAGAACATATAGTCTAGAAAAAAATTCAACCGGACCAGACGGAAAGCCAGCTAAAACTGAGGGGCAGTAGGTAGACTTAAATATATTTACACACGTGTGGAGGGTGCAGTGGCCACCGATGATCACATGATCTCAGTCCACCCCTGGGTCAGCTTGGCTAAGTACACTTCCCCTACTCTCCCTGGTTGTTAACACTCTACACAATTAAGACATACACAGCGCTCAGGGTTTCCTTTGGTGGGATGGACACGATGGATGGAGAATGTTTATGTGTACTTCTTGATCTCGTCGTACAGGACCAGCACAAAAGCGCCACCCATGCCTCTGAGCACATTGGACCAGGCACCCTTGAAGAAAGCTTTGGGACCTTCGTCCTTGGTGATCTTTCTCGAACAGTCGACTGTGCCCTTGTACATAATGTCAGCTTTTGGAAAGAAAAATATGCGTTTGACACATCATCAAACAGCTTTTATTATCATCCATAAAACAAGCTTGTGCCAAAATTGCACGATCCTTTGGCCTACCTCCTTTGCGTCCAGACTGCATCATCATACGATGTCTGACGGTGTCGAAGGGATATGAAATGATACCGGCAACAGCTGTGACAGTCTGGGCGATCATCCAGCTGATGACAATGTGCGTGTTCATGGGGTCTGGGAGCACACCTGAGTGATAAGAGTCGGGCAATGTCATTGAGTTGTTTTTGACAAGCGATTTATTTTATCCACATCAGATGTTTCCGATTAGTTGCTTAACTTTAGCTGTATCGTAGACACCAAAGTAAGCGGCTCTGTAGATAATAATGCCCTGGACAGACACATTGAAGCCAAGGTAGAGACCCTTAATACCATCAGACTTGATCTTGGCAAGGCAGTTCCCAAGACCAGTGAACTCTCTCTCCGTTGCGCCTTTGCCGATATCACCAGCAAGCCTTGTTCTGGCGAAGTTAAGAGGGTAGACCAGGGGTGCCCAAACTCGGTCCTGGAGGGCCGGTGTCCTGCAGAGTTTAGCTCCAACTTGCCTCAACACACCTGCCTTTAAGTTTCTAGTATGCCTAGTAAGAGCTTGATTAGCTGGCTCAGGTGTGTTTAATTGGGGTTGGAGCTAAACTCTTCAGGACACCGGCCCTCCAGGACTGAGTTTGGACACCCCTGGGGTAGACGAAGCACAGAGAGGTGGCACCGGCGGCACCGCCAGAGGCCAGATTACCGGCAAAGTAACGCCAGAACTGGGTATTCTTGTCCACTCCTCCAAGGAAGATCTTCTTGTACTTGTCTTTGAAGGCAAAGTTGAGGGCTTGTGTGGGGAACTATCTGATGACGTTAGCGAGGTTGCCTCTCCAGAAAGACAGGAATCCCTGCTCTTTGGGAATTCTCACTACACAGTCCATGATGCCTTTGTACTGTGTCTCAACTGTGATCTGTCTGTTGGCATGCTGGACCTGCGAGGCAGCAGAGTTTGGATTGGTAAGTGGAAGATGGCATGCTTTATATCATTGTGACCACATCAGATGTGAATTTTGGGATATGTCATGGATTATCGAGATGTAATATCATGCATGCTCGCGTGCCAGTGTTGCATGATCAACTTGTATGGGAAACCTCAAAAGTTGTCTTTGATTTGAAGTAGAAATAGAAGAATTCAGAGTTGAATTCTTTATACTCAGGAATCAGCCTGACCACGTGCGCGCTGCACTTGGCGTCACTCCCCACTTGCGCGCGGGGTTTGAGTATTGGGTGGCAGCCTCCAGACTATTTTTAACTTTAAACTTACACCAAATATCGCTGCTCTTCACAGTCACGGTTTTTACAAACACGATTGGCCTTTATGAACTCTGGCACTGATGGAAAGAGTGACGGAAGTCTTCAAGGTCACACACATATATATATATATATATATATATACAGTATATTCCACAATTGTTTTAGGAAATGCACTTCTTAACTGACAAATAACATTAATCAAAGATTACTTAAACTTACTCTGTGCTGAAATTGCACTTTTTTCAGTAATGCTTAATGAAGTAGCACCATGGACAGCGCCATAATTTTTCTGTGCATTATCAGTAAAACCTTTTTTCTTGTTTACTCTATTATGTTTAATTAATTGATTAATTTACAAAAAAAAATGTTAACTAACTTGTTATGCAAGATCATGGCACCCTCTTTTTAAAAGATGCAACTGTGACTTACATGCAACTTTTTCGAGCTATTTATGAGATTAATATAATTGTGAATAATTATTCTTTTTTTTACGTATCTGCAATAAAAGTTTGACTCTTTCAGTGGGGGCCACAGCTGTCTTGGAGATGGCTGCGGCCACACCACCGGCCAAGAAATCTTTCAAAAAGCGAATCACCGCGTCAAACATGATGTCCTATCTCCTGAATGACAGTCTCACCACCAAAGGACCCTATAAGAACCCCAGCGACGCCCCTTCAAATGGGCGAGTGCTCGTGTTTGCTCCTAATATATCCGGACTCATTATCACGAGAGGAGCAGGTGGATCCACGAGAGACCGAACAGAAACTCAAAGCTGAAAAAATATCAAGGGTCATAGGCCATAATTAAGTCTTACATCAAGTGCATTAATGTCCTGGGTCATTGATTTGGGTACGTTTAAAGGACACATTTTATTTCTCACATAGCCCACACATGTATTATCATAAAACTATCCGATTCGTAACCGCTGGGAAAAGGGTTTTATATACAGGTGCATCTCAATAAATTAGAATGTCGTGGAAAAGTTCATTTATTTCAGTAATTCAACTCAAATTGTGAAACTCGTGTATTAAATAAATTCAATGCACACAGACTGAAGTAGTTTAAGTCTTTGGTTCTTTTAATTGTGATGATTTTGGCTCACATTTCACAAAAACCCACCTATTCACTATCTCAACAAATTAGAATACTTCATAAGACCAATAAAAAAAACATTTTTAGTGAATTGTTGGCCTTCTGGAAAGTATGTTCATTTACTGTACATGTACTCAATACTTGGTTGGGCCTCTTTTTGCATGAATTACTGCATCAGTGCAGCGTGGCATGGAGACAATCAGCCTGTGGCACTGCTCAGGTGTAATGGAAGCCCAGGTTGCTTTGATAGCGGCCTTCAGCTCATCTGCATTTTTGGGTCTGGTGTCTCTCATCTTCCTCTTGACAATACCCCAAAGATTCTCTATGGGGTTCAGGTCAGTCGAGTTTGCAGGCCAATCAAGCACAGTAACACCATGGTCATTGAACCAGCTTTTGGTGCTTTTGGCAGTGTGGGCAGGTGCCAAGTCCTGCTGGAGAATGAAATCAGCATCTCCATAAAGCTTGTCAGCAGAAGGAAGCATGAAGTGCTCTAAAATTTCCTGGTAGATGGCTGCGTTGACTGTGGACTTCAGAAAACACAGATATAAAAATTATAATGCAGTTGTAAGTAGCAGTATTACCACAGAACCTTGTCAGCATTGTATTGAATGTTTTACAGCAATATTTCTGCATATGAAAAAATAAGTAACAACTATTTTGTTTACTAAATCATGTGTTAAAAATGAATTAATACTGGATAAAACTGACCAACATTCATGTCTAATAGGCTAATGTATATATATATATATATATATATATATATATATATATATATATATATATATACAATATATATATATATACATATATATAGACATACCTGTGAAATTTATGGTAAAAACTATTTGATACAAAAAAATACGGTAGCAGAATTTTAGGTTATATGAGACTGAACTGAACATTATTTTTCATTAACTGATATAATGTTAATATTACAACTAAAGTAATAACATCTGTTTTGTACCAGTATAATGTACTGATAACCACCATAATAATATATGTGGTAAAAGAGACAAAATTTGCCTTCTCATAAACTGAGGTAAATACTAACATAGAAGGTGCACACAGTGTCATGCACACAAATACAGGGTAACATGGAACTGTACATGGTAACACAAGTGACATAAAACAATGCAATAACCTTAATTGAAAAACAGAAATTGTTAAATGAAGCCCAAATGACAACAAAAATGAGATTCCAAGTGCCAAATATGTCGCAGGTAAATGTGGAAATGTCAGTTTATGTTTTTTCACTGTAAATTAGATGACTGCTCATTTTTACTTCCAAAATCTGTACATTTAACAGCATTTTACTTGTTTACTGTAATGTCCCGCTAGATCTATTACAGTTTTTCACTGTACATAATAAAGGAACTTGCCATTACTGACTGTAGCCGTTTTACAATGTTTTAATGTTAAAATGACAACATTTCTTGCAGTGTACCTTCTCTTGCTGTATTCTAGATGACTTCAAAACCCAGATATTCTGTCTATGGTGGCAAAATCAATGATGTTGGATTTCACACCAACAGGAGTCTCAGAAGACTGTTTGTATCTGAACATTTACACTCCTTCTCAAAGATCAGAATCAGATAAACTTCCAGTGAGTACTGAATAACGGCTTCTCTCATCTAAACTAGAGGACAGCACTTTAACTTACGAATTCACAGTAGAAATTATTCTGTTATATTCCAACCCTTCTGACAAAAGCAATTTATGCAAACCAACAGGTAATGGTCTGGATTCATGGAGGGGCTCTGGTCACGGGCGGTGCTTGCACGTATGACGGATCCCCATTAGTGCCCTATGAGAACAGTTGTGATTGTCATTCAGTACCGACTTGGAATGTTAGGATACTTCAGGTATTCATTTATGGTGGAGAAAGTGGGCATTACTTGTGCAGTCTGTCCCTTAAGAATGACATCAGGTTTCTAGTTTCATACTGAAGCTGCTTCTGCAATGGGTTATAATAACACATACTTCTGGTTTTAGCACAGGAGATAAGAATGCTCAAGGAAACTGGGGTTTCCTAGACCAGACTGCTGCTTTACAGTGGGTGCAGCAAAACATTAAAGGTTTTGGAGGAGACCCCCAGTCTGTCACCATAGCTGGGGAGTCTGCAGGAGAAATCAGTGCCTCTTTTCTGGTCAGTAAATGTTTTTAAAAGCAGCATTATCTTCATTATCTTTCTCTATTGTTGCATATTAATTATTTACAGTATGTGCCTGATATGATTAATAATGATTCATCTTATGTTATGGAGTAACGCAATATTGTAATGCATTACTTTTAAAAGTAACTTTCCCCAACATTGTTAATAACACATCAGCTCACATTTCCTCAATCACAAGAACAAAACTATGTAATTCTCTTCCTCTCTTCCTTGAAGCTGGAATATTATGCTGAGAAATGTCAAATAGAGATCTTTTAGCAAATTTTGAGGGGGAAATATGTGGAAATCATAAAATATAGAAATGGAATGGTAAAAGCATTTGCAGCCCTCATTAGTTTGTTGCCAAATTATGTGATCATTTCGGATTTCAAAACAACATTGTATAACATATAATATTTCAGTTACAAAAATACGTTCAGTCCATGTTATTTTAATGCAGTTCTTTGATCGTCCCATGCATTAAATAAAATACTGGAAAAAGTAGCCCCTTATTTATTTCCAGTCAGACATGATGAAAACATAGGCTTCGTTTTGTAAATACGTTCACTGTTAAAAAAAATATATATATATATTTTATTTTATTTTATTATTTTTTTATAAAAATATATATATACGGAAATAAAATGATTATTGGAGCCTAGCTGTTTTACAAGAAAATACTATTTTAGTCTTTCTGCTTCAATATTTCATGTTTTTTCAATGTGTTACTTGCCGGTTTTTTGTCATTATTAATTATTTGTGAAATTTACTAGCATTTTTTTGGATGAAAATTGCTTCTACATCTATTTTTCTCTTTACAAACGGAGCGAAAAGGAATTAAATTCATTCGATTTTGGTATTTTTTTTTAGATTTGTTGTTTTCATTGATGTGCAACCTGCACATATCTGTTAACATCTCAAAAAATGTGTTTTAGGGTTTCATGACCTTTAAACCAACATTATTAGTAAGTTCTATGATTATTCAGTCTTTCACGTGTTAGTCCACACGAGGGCGCTGTCTCATCAAGAGAATGAATTGTCTAGTGGTCAGTAAAACCAGAGTGTGTCTTCTTGCTCAGTCTCAGATACTTATTGTATAAATACTTATAATGCATTTAAAGGAGCAGCATACTGCAGGAACATGTAAAGGTTTATGATTTACATCATTTTTGCATTGTAATATTTTCATGAAAATTACCAAGTTTGGATTTTTTGCTGTTGGTCCCTCATTCAAGTAAATAACCTAATGGATGTAGCCTATTAAATATTGTAATTTTTCTGGTTTGTGTGTTTGATATAGGTTACAAGGCAGCATCAGAGAATCACTCCATAAGTAGAGTCTCTCATACAACATACTCCAGCACTGGGCCATGGATGACGGATCACACTGATCAGGTAGTACACACATTACCTCACGAATGATATGATTACTGCACTAAAAACACACTGCAGCTTACTATTACATACAGTAGCCCAAACATTTTTTTTTTATATTTCTGAATCAATATTTGAACACTTAGTAGATGAATATCATTAAATTGGATAATAAAATATAAGAATAATTAGTTAGGTTTTATGTTATAAAATAGAAAATATATGTACTGCTTATTAACAATAATTAAGATTGCATTTATTTGATCAAAGATGCTGTAAAAACAAGTAACATTGTGAAATGTTTATTAATTTAAAATGGCCATTTTCTATTTTAATATATTTTAGAATGTAATGTGTGCAAAGCGGAATTTTCAGCATCATTAATGCTGTCACATGATGCTTCAGAAATCATTCTAATTCTGGTTTGCTGTTCAAGAATAATTTCAATCAACAATGAACGTTATTTTAGAAAATAATTCTATAATAATTATAATTCTATAATAATTCTATAAAAAATATTTCAAATAAATGCTGTTATTTCGGTTGACTGAATGCTCTTCTTTATCATGGTTTCCACAAAAATATTAAGCAGCAAAAACTGTTTTCAACTCTGATAATAATAATAAGGACCATTATTCATATTTGAGCTTGATAATTAATAATAAGTAATATTAGTGCTGAGAAAAAGTCCAGCATGATTTGTTGCCGATGCCACCTGGTTTAATATTTTATTTAATGCAATAAAAATAATACATTTTTTATTATTGTGCACACATTGTGTTTGCATAGGTGCACAATGTGATTCCCACAGAGTATAATTCTGAGTGCATTAATACAGGCATGTTTTCAAGTATCCCCATGTGCTCTCCTCTCAATGACAAAGTTGCTGGCCTGTGTTCCTCCTTTTGACATCAAAGCATGGCATTATCCCATTGAGAACGAGAGCGACTGCTCATGAAGAATAAAACACAAGAACTGATCAAATCTCAGCTGCAGCTCAGTGGTTAACACCAATGTGTAACAGAGTTTACCCAAGAGAGATAAAGAGAAGGAGAAGTCAAGTCAAGTCAAGTCACCTTTATTTATATAGCGCTTTTAACAATACAGATTGTGTCAAAGCAACTGAACAGCATTAATTAGGAAAATAGTGTCAATAATGCAAAATGACAATAGTAAACACTCATTTTTCAGTTAAAGACAGTTCATCATTCAATTCAGTGATGTCAACATCCAGCTCAGTACAGTTTAAATAATATCTTTGCAATCATGTCAACGATATCGCTGGAAATGAAGTGTCCCCAACTAAGCAAGCCAGAGGCGACAGCGGCAAGGAACCAAAACTCCAAGAAGGAGGGAGTATATGTGCAAATGGGTGTGTGAGAGAGAAAGTGCTGCAAATCTGCAGGTGTCTGTCTTGTAGAGGGGGTGTTGTGTGTGATTAACCCTGCCAGTCTTATCCCTGGGGTCCTGTCTGTCTGACCGACTGAACCCAGCAGACAGGCCCCCTCGACTCCGCCTGGTCACGAGAGCTGCCTTAGTCACACAGTGGGGGTACACACACACACACACACACACACGTCATAAGAGTCAGAGTGGGTGTATGGATAAACACACAAACCTTCCATCCCATCCCGCTCACAAAAGAAGCTTGAAATGCTGTCACTCATTATATTTAATACATTCAGTACTTTAAAATCTTTCAGTTACTGCAAACAAATTGACATGCTACCCATAGGTTCACATTAATGTTATATGAAGACATGTTCTCTCAGATTTTACACTGAGAAGAGATCTTCTGTGATCAGTTTATGATTTCTCAGTTCATTTATTTACGTCAAATTTGCAGAAATGTGAATGATCTCCAGAAAGGAAAAGGAAAATTTGGTCTACAAAATATAGCAGCAAGAAGTAACTAAAGCATTATTTATATTTCTTAAAAAAAAAAAAAAATTCACCATTTAAAAAAATAAGAAGAAGAAACATTAATTTAAAATAAGTTTATTCATTCACATAATTAAATTTGCAGTAATGTGTGTAATTTCAAGAAAGGAAAAGTAAATATCAAATATACATCAGAACAAAGTAAAACACATTTTTGTGCATTTTGCTTTAAACTCAATTACATATGAAATAATGTCTTGCAGCCAAACAAAATATGCCTATTTTGGTTTGTGCAGCAGTGTGTTAGAGTTACAAGTGAAAATGTGTGTTTCTGGAAAAAACAATGATGTAGAATATTGAGTTTTGACTTCATAATTTTGTGTTTTTGTAAATTCATTATTAAAAAAGAATACAGAAACCACACTAAAACAATATACAGATTTCACTCTTTCTTTTAAAGCTGGAAGATGAGCTAAAAGAGCGCATTCAAAATACAGGAGCTCTGGCACTCAAAATCCTGTTCAAGAACAACCACCCTGATGGCAAACCTCTGGTCGACAGGTGAAAACAGGCACACACAGATGTAAATATTGGAAATGCTTCCATTTTCTTAAGTTTATTGTTTTCCTAGATCTGCGTTACTTGAGATCCTTACAAATTTCCTGAGGAGGCCTGTCACAGCTAAACAGCTGAAAAAACTTCTATTTCGGTAAATAATGACAATGCTCTAACAATTCTCAAAACATAAAATTATGTTGTTGTCATTTAAAAAAAACTGTCTAATTATTAGTGTTTCAAGATCCTTATAAAAAATATCCTGTCTTGCTCTTTCTGTGCAGTCTGCACCTCTCTGACCGAGTGCTTATCAGTTTTGAGGAGTTTTATGGTGCCCTGAAAGACCCAGACGCCAGTAAAAGTAAACCCGTGAGCCTACTTACGATTCCTCAGACAATGGCCCTACTGAGAGGACCTGCATGCATCAGGTGAGATCTTTGTTCCCGTCCTCAAATTTGACAGTCCATTTCATTTAATCACTGGTATCACTCTTGTCAAGGCTGTCATTCTGTAAATTGCATAATTTTACCGTAAGTAGCATCAAGTGAGTGACTCTTTGAATCATTGACTCAAACGATTTGTTCAAAAACTGATTCATTCAAGAACTATTTTCATTAGCAGAACTTTGTCCAAGACAACGTTTGAATTCCCTCTAACTGAATTCCCTTTAAGACCCCCCCCAGAATCTAATGCAACATTTTAATGTTAAGTCTACAAATACAGAGTTCTGGCATGAAACTCTAGATGGCGCAGTCCGATAGGTCTAACTCAATCTGACCTAATGACATCATTATCACATGGCATAGCTGATTGGTTCTCTCCTGTATCGGTAGCCAATGAGCTCGCTGCTCAACATTCAAATATATGACTAGTGCTTGCCGTATCAGTTGCAGCTTGCTTCAGAAACCCTTCACCTTCCCCAGCTCCACTTGTATAGATCTGCTACGAGGTGATTCATGTATGCTATATGGGGGTTATTTCATGTATGTTATATTTGCAGCAGCAATATTTCTTACATGCTCACAGCAGCATGTTTTGGATGTATTGGCAGTAGCAAGTCTAGGTACTTGTTCTGCCGCAGCAGCTGCAGCGTAGCAGATATATTCCGCCAAGACCAAATACATTAACATTGTCATGTACATTACCATGCCAATCCCTCCGAGAGTTTTCATGACAGA